AAGGAGCCTGTGGAACAGCCATGAGAATGGGTCAAGCAGGCAGTGAAGTGCACAGGTTTCAAGCCAGAGGACAAACTGGAGATAAACTTTAACGAGGCATATTATACAGGAGGCTGTGAATGAGCCTTCCTAGGAAGACTCTGGAGTGAAGAAACCAGTCTGTTTGCCCTCCAGTATGCCCGGCTCAACAAATGGCACGAAGCTCAACAAATATATTCTGAATAAGTGAACAAGTAGACACGTGCGAGAAGGTCAGGACACTTACTACGAACTGAGGACACAGGAATGAAAGTTCCTCGGCCCTTCACATAATCTTGACTGGGGTTGATGTAAAAAGACTTAAAAGAATGTATATTTGCGGGCCGGCCGAGTGGCACGATGGTTAAGAACTGGCTTGGGACGCCAGAGGGCCCCGGTTCGGATCCCACATATGAGGGCCAGTGACACTGCCCTAGACTGAAGAACAAAACGACAGCAACTTGTCTGTTCCCCTTCCCCCAATTCCCCAGCGCTGTTCCCATCCCCCAAATTCACCAATAAAAAAATCGTTAAAAAAAGAACGTATATTTGTGAGAAATTCCAAGGGAAGGACCACGAAGACCTCTGTCCTGTGGGAGAAGGGGTGACTGAAAGAGGACTGGAAGGGGAGGCTCCGTATTTGAATTAAATCATCTTAATTTCTATCACAGTGTATTTATGGCCTTTGTCACCTGAAATTGTTACTTTTACTGTTAATAACAATACCTTACATGATATGTATTTTGCAAAGTACTTGTGTACTCATTATCACCCTGCATAGTAAACTTTTGGCTCTTAAATACTGTCATTTTGTGCTCAGCATTTATATCCTACTTCAGGGAATTTTAAAGTTTTACCCTTAGTTGTATTTACATTTTAATAGGACTTGAAAGTTTAAATTACCAGTCTTTTCTCAAATCTTATAAGACAAAAGAGAAAACTGTACATTTGTGCTTCAAATATATTAAAATAATCTGAGTGTAAAAGTCATATTGGAAAAAACTATGATTGTCAATAGTGTGCTGAGAACAAAACTTCCTCAGTGGATAATTATATATATGCAATATATATATTTGCTTCATATATATGTGTGTGTGTGTGTGTGTGTGTGTGTTTATACATATGTATATTAAGGAAGCAAAAGCACAGAGTGCTGTGAAATGGATAATGGGAACTGGCTTATTGGGGGGAAGGGAAAACGGGAAGGTTTCCCTCAGGAAGTGACATTAAGCAGAGACAGCATTATCCAGACAAGATATATATATATCTTGGTTCTAGCACCAATACTGATGCTACTGTCTTCTTGCACCTCTGATAATTCCCTCAGCTTCACTGTCCTCTGCTTCTTCATCTAGAAGAGGCAGGAGACAGGTTCATCACTCATTCTCTCACTGGGTACCACCGAGCTGGAGAGCAGGCACAGGAGGCAGGGTGGGGTGGGGGCCGAGGGACGAGGCCCCAGAATCCTTCCTTCCCTCCACTTGTCACTGTTTTATCTCCTATGGCTACCCATAAGATTTCACTGGGAAATAAAACTTTTCTTAATTATTATTAAAACACAACAAGTAGACAAAAAGTTTGAAATCCACTGCCTTTGAATCAGGGTTTCCCTGAGGTTCTAATACAATAGGTAAGAGATGCGACCTCAGTATCTTTATCACTTAAAATATCCACAGGTAACTTCTCAGCAAAAGCTGGAAAAAAAAACATAAACTAAATGAATGCTCGCTAACATCTCTTTTACTACTTTTATGTTCAATTTCATTTACAGAGTAAGAGAAGCATTATTGTTCCATGGTGAAAAGATTAAACAGAAGTGGAAGTAGCAAGGACCCCAGTCACGGAACACTCTTGGCTAACATCCTTTTTCAAGGACAGACTCCATGTGAGGATTGCTGGGTAACGACTTCCGATCTGAAATCCAGCATCACAGCCACAAGAAAGAAAGTCCAAGACACACTTGGCTTCAACTACTAGGTTGACCAACCCACTTAAAAAAAGAACACAAATGCCATCCAATTAAAAAGCCCAGCAGCTTCCTGTGACATCCCAGAACATGCCTGGGAATCCAACTGGGACAAAGTCTGCATAGAATCATTGTGCATTAGTCCAAAGGTATACAGACTGAAGACCTTATTCTCTGATAACCACGCTCTGGGGAAAATTAGCTACCAAATAAGAAAGGGCGCCACCGTGCAAACACCCTCAAACCTTGGACACAGTGACTTCTGGCTCAATCCAGTACAGAGACGCAAACAGCACAGAACATAAACGAACACTGTAAATCAGAAACTCTGACATAGAAATTTCCACCACACTAACCAGCAACTAGGGCATCCTTAGGCCATCGGCTGAACCAGTCAATAGTACATCCTGAAATCAGGGCGGGGAACTTCAGAGCTCGATTTCGAAATTTCTCCCCCACTGGTGAAAAGCAGAGCACCGTGTGAAGATGCTGCCGGACCCGACTCATGAAGTAGTCGTGCAGGTTCTCATTGGTCGGAGGGCGCCTGGGGTGCTCTTTCTTCATGACTGGCATGAGCTCACTATTGATTTCATCCATTTCATCACGAGCAAACAGGCTGGAGACCTGAGACAGAAGTGCAGACATTCAAGCTCAGTACAGGTACATGAAAACAGATCCAAATAGGTGGCTCCATATTGATAATGTCTTTCCTCCATGTGTGTCCTTAAGCTCACCTGTAGAAAATTAACCCAAAGTCTTCAAGACGAGATATACCATGTTTTAGAATACACAGACGACTCTATTATGAACTGCAAAGTGATAGCCTTTCCTTGTGATCTCCCTCTTTCGTGCTTTCACTTGGAGTATTCATTGACATTTTAAATGTACAGCTCCACATTCGGACTAGGACTTTTATTCTCCACAAACCTGACAGAAAATGCCATTCTTCATACTGATCACCTAATCCTCAGTAACAGCACTTATTCAAGTCTCTAATATAAGAGAATACAGACAGTTCTAAAGATGGAGGGAATCTGGAGAGACAAAACCCATGAAGGAAAAATCGCCTCCTACCTCACCCGATGATAAGACATTATTCATATATTCCAGAAATGCCTCATCTTTAATCTCATTGTCTGTGAAAATAAAAGTGATTCCTTTGCCTTGCTGACCGGCCGTCTTATACAAAATTTTCAGGTCTTCCATCAGATTTGATGTGTTGTAGGATCTAAAGAAATATTATCATTGTGTCATTAGCTACATAAACTATTTTGATGGGAAGGAAAGGTCCTTCTAACAATGCTTTATGACATTTGGGTAACCAAAAAATGCTGATATTATTCCATCAGATAAGTATTTTATTGTATGTGAATGTTCTGGTTCATTATATCTACTTACAAAGATGAAATTGATTTTTTAAAAATTTCTTTCCGTTTCCAACAACTATTCCTTTGGGAGTAATAGAGGAGCACCATCTTGGTAAAGTTGTGAGTACTTTGCTGCTCACTGCAGTCAAGAACTATTATTTTTATTGCGGTATAATTAACATACAACATTATATTAGTTTCACATGCACAATAATTCAATATTTGTATGTATTGCAAAATAATCACAATAAGTATAGTAAGCATCAAGTAACATATTTACTTGCAAAGATGAAATTGATTTTAACACTCCACATTTTATGAAACATTACAATTAATTTTTTACACACACACACACACACACACACACAAAAAAAAAATCTCAAGTGAAAAGTAAACCTGAAGCAAAAATATAATGTTTACCACAACTAACTGCCATCTGAATGTGTTTATGTTTCATTTGGAAAATATTTATTGGTAATGATAATAGAAAAGTAAAAAAGGAAGACTTTCTAAGCACCTTCTGCAGTGCTATTTTAAAAGCAACCTCATAAATTAAATAAACTAAGTCATGTGAAGCCTTCGCTATATGGGGTGAGGGAGATGCCCCGTTATGAATGGTGTCCTCCTCATCCAACAGCACAGCACCCCAAAGGTGCTTCATTTGCCTGGAACATTCCCCTTCTCTGAGTGAATTCCTACTCACATTCAGGCTTCAGTTGAAACACCTGTTCCTCCAGGAAGCCTTTTCTAACCACCCCCTAGACAAGGTTACGCATCCCTCCTTCATGTTTCAACAGACTGTGGGCTGCGTTTATTTCCCGAGAGATAGCACCTTGTTGAATGACTTGCTCAGCTGTGTGTCCATCTTGGATTACTGTAACTGTGTTGATGACACAGACCAAGCTTACCTTGCTTCACCACACACTCCCCAGCACCTAGCCAGCGCCTGACACATTAGTCGGTGTTCAATACACATTTCTAAATAATGACTGAGTCTGAATTAATATTTATGGAGGGCAAATTTCTTCTGAAATTCACCAAAGGAATATCATGCATAACACAAAAACAGAAAGGCGGCTAAGCTATCCACTGCAATGAGAGGCTGAAGTGTTTCAAAAGCAAATTATTAATGTGGAATTTTCATGATCGATGACATGCTGAAAGGGAAAGATGATAAGTCAGCATTCAAGAAGGAAAACTATCATGATTTTTTATGTGTAAGAAAAAGCCTTCACTTCAGACGGCCTCTGTGAACCTTTTATCAAAAGCCACTTCACGTAAATTAAAGTGGAACCTGGTTACCTTGTCAGAGTGATCTGGAAGGAAGTATAGCCAGCGATGAACGAAGCCAGCCTCGTCAGGCTCTGCTTCCCTGATCCGCCCACCCCAACCAGGAGGGCATTTCCCCGGGGAGTACGAATGATACGTGAGATCTGGAATATGAAACAGAAAAAGCATATGTCGTTCAACATGTAAATATTCCATTTTTTCTCATTTATTCTACGTAAGCATTTTGGAATATGTAGGTTTCTCGGGACCAGAGTGGAGAGAGATGCTGGTTGTAGGAACAAGGGCACTTCTGAAATAGCACGGTGTTTGGTAGGTACTGGACAGACTGAGGAGTGCGGGTGTACCTCTGAGAAATCAGGAGACCAGTACGAAAAGGTCAGCAGACAGCCCGGACTGTGGCCTGCTCTGGGTTTTCAAGGAGAGATATACAGGGGACTTTAAGGCATCTCTTTAGTTTGCCCGACTTAATGCAGTAGGACAGGAAAGAGAACAAATATTTCAAAACAACATGTATCCTTGGAATATAGAACCCACAGTTGATTAGAATATCCTCTGCACTTGAAAAAAATGACAGTTTAAATTGAAGAGAAGAAAAGTTCCAAAATATGGCATAGATACAGAATTCCTCTTAAGCAAAAATACCCTCTTATTATTTGGCCAAGACAGTTTAATCTAAGATATCTACCAAGAAGTGATTATGGGTGGACCAGAAGTCCACGCTATGCCAGTCAGTAGCCCTGGACAATTCCAAGTCCCCTTTGTGGTGGAAGTCCATGTTTCTCTGGCTTTTATTGGTATACACCATATGGCCTCCAACCCCATCTAGAGGGGATTCAGTGCAGAACTCTCTTTGATGCATTCTACACCTTGTGAGATGATAACTGTCTTTTCCTCCCAACTGCCAGTTAAGCCTGGGGTATTGCTGTGATACTCACTTTTCTCTAGACCAGCGGTTCTCAGCCTTTCACAGCGGTCGCCTAAGACCATCGGAAAACACATATTTTCGATGGTCTTAAGAACCGAAACACCGCTCCTCTATCGGTCTCCAGGCCCACATGTAGATACGCCCACATACGAGTACCCAGCGACCCCTGTGAAAGGGTCGTTCGACCCACAAAGGGGTCGCGACCCACAGGTTGAGAACCGCTGCTCTAGGCTGATAGATTGGGATGGGGGCTGAGATGAGATCACTTCTCTGTGGCTGGGGAAGCTCCCTGGGGTAACCTGGGCTCTGCACCCTGCCAGGGTTTTCTTTTTTATTTTACTGGGGAATTGGGGGAGGAGAACAGCGGTGGGGAATTGGGGAAGGGGAGCAGACAAGTTGCTGTCCTTTTGTTCTTCAGTCTAGTTGTGGAGGATGTCGCTTCACTGGCACATGTTGGTATTATGATCATTGTGCTCTTCCCGGGTGAGGCAGATCGGTCACTGGCCATTGGACAGCCGCTCATGGTGGCTCATGGCAGCTCACAGCAGCTGTCGGCCACTCACGGTAGCTTATGGCAACCCACCTGCAGCAGGGGCTGCAGCCTACACCGTCGCCAGCAACTCACGGCAGCCCAACTCCTGGTCGAGCTGTTGTTCATCGTCTTAGCTGTAGAGGGCAGTGCCACTGGCCCATGTGGGATCCAAGCTGGCAGCCCTGCTGCTCAGGGTTCATGCTCCCAAGCCAACTCTTAACCAACGGGCCACTCGGTCAGCCCCTACCAGGGTTTTCTTAAACATCATTTCTCAGGGTCCCCTCCAATGGCAGAGCCTGTGCTCTAGTCCTGTTGGGACTACGCTTGGCTTTTGAATTATTTCCTTCAGTTTAGTGTGAGCCCAAGGAAACGGAAAACATTTTCCTATCTGTTGTGGACCTGAGAATCTGTGGTACAGGGAGGTGGTACACCCCTTTCTTCAAGCCTTTTACTCATCCTTTCCGTGTCATTCTCTCCAAAATTGCTGTAGGCAGGACAGAGTGGGACTGGCAAGAATTCTTAGTATTTTGCCAATGACTATTCATATTCTTTCCCTGGTATATTACTTCGAGAGGCACAGATAATGTAGGTGAGGAGCAACTGCAGGCCACACTAGAACCTTTGTGTCTTTCCCTGATTAACGTTTTTCAAAACATACAGATTTTGTCATGACATTTTCCTTTAGTTGATGTGGATGACTATATTAAGGGTTTAAATAATTGTTAATTAGGTATTGGGAACCTTCATTCCAACATCTTTTCCTGCAAATGGGCCTAGGTCTTGTATCAAACTTTTTTATTCCATTTCTAGTACATGGCAAACCCTTAAAACATATTAAACAAATGAACATATAGGTGAACAAAGAAGGCTTTAAAAGCAGACTCAAAAAACTCCTAACCTAGTTAGAACAGAAATGACTGGAGAAAGCTCAAGCAAGTGAGACCTTCAAATGCGGCTATTTTGTGCTATTGCACATAGATTGTGAGATGTTCATTTTTTTAATTGCTGTAGCAAATATTTAAAAAATTAATAATCCCCTACATGCCCTGTAGGTGCTCACACACTAGCAGGGGAGAGAGACCTACAAATGAAAGCACAGTAATTCACCATGGCAAATGCTAGAACTCACTGGAATGGTGGCAACAGAATGACAGAATGCACAAGGAACAATGCCGCTTGGTGGAGGCTGCTTAGGTGTGGAGCTGGAATTCGATCTGGCCCTTGAAGTCCATCATACAAAGAAGGTAGCGTGCCAAGCGGGAGTTGGGCTAAATTGTAAGAAGAGGGATTCGGATGCACAAAGTCTCAGAGTCAGCCCAGAGGGGTTTCCACGGGGGTGGGAACTTCAGTACTGGTTATGGAAATATCAAGAGGTAGCAAAGGGTTGTACAGGGTCATACTGGGGATGTGGTTCCATTCCAAACCTATTTACCAAGCATCTCAAGCATGCCAGCCTCAGCAGCACTCCAGCCTGTGAATACTGAGGTGAATAAATTGG